GGTATCAAGGATATATCTATACCAAGGATTAGCACCTACATAAAAACTGCGAAGAAGGACTGAAGTAGATCGCTTCCTGGTAGATCTATTTTGAGCATTGCAAATTCTATACCAAGCGTCTTTCAGATTTTCTCCCTCCCTTTGTTTAAAATTTAGGACTTCATTCTCGGGAGATAACGGAGAAGAGATAGGATTAGCCATGACGACAAGGCAAGCGAGAAAAAGGCAAACGGAGAAAGAGAAGGAGAAGGAGAAGGAGATTGGGAAAGAGGGGGCGAATAAAACGGCAGGGGTGAAGTGGGGGAGAGGAAAGAGAGGCAAATGGCAAATAATGTAATGCGAGAGATAGGGATTGTGATGGGTACTTGGTATGTTGACTTTTTGCGTAGACTCCCTGACAATGGCGCCAGAAATTCTTCTTGCTACCTCTTGAGCTTGCGTTGGATTTCCCCGAAGAGGAAGGGATGATGCAGCAGAGTAGCGTAAGTATTTCCCTCAGTTTTTGAGAACCAAGGTATCAATCCAGTAGGAGGCCACGCTCAAGTCCCTCGTACCTGCACAAAACGATAGCTACTCGCAACCAACGCGATTAGGGGTTGTCAATTCCTTCACGGTCACTTACGAGAGTGAGATCTGATAGATATAATATTTTTGGTATTTTTGGTATAGAGATGCAAAGTGAAAAGTAAAAGGCAAAGTAAAAAAGCAAAGCAAGATTAAAGTGATGGGGATTGATATGATGAGAATAGACCCGGGGGCCATAGGTTTCACTAGTGGCTTCTCTCAAGAGCATAAGTATTCTACGGTGGGTGAACAAATTATTGTTGAGCAATTGACAGAATTGAGCATAGTTATGAGAATATCTAGGCATGAGCATGTATATAGGCATCACGTCCGTGACAAGTAGACCGAAACGATTCTGCATCCACTACTATTACTCCACTCATCGACCGCTATCCAGCATGCATCTAGAGTATTAAGTTAAAAACAGAGTAACGCTTTAAGCAAGATGACATGATGTAGAGAGAGAAATTCATGCAATATGAAATAAACCCCATCTTGTTATCCTTGATGGCAACGATGCAATACGTGCATTGCTGCTCCTTCTGTCACTGGGAAAGGACACCGCAAGATCGAACCCAGAGCTAAGCACTTCTCCCATGGCAAGAACTACCAATCTAGTTGGCTAAACCAAACGGATAATTTGAAGAGACTTGCAAAGATAACCAATCATACATAAAAGAATTCAGAGAAGATTCAAATATTATTCATAGATAGACTTGATCATAAACCCACAATTCATCAGTCTCAACAAACACACCGCAAAAAGAAGAAGATTACATCGAATAGATCTCCACGAGAGAGGGGGAGAACTTTGTATTGAGATCCAAAGAGAGAGAAGAAGTCATCTAGCTAATAACTATGGACCCGAAGGTCTGAGGTAAACTACTCACACTTCATCGGAGAGGCTATGGTGATGTAGAAGCCCTCCGTGATGACAGCCTTCTCCGGCGGAGCTCTGGAACAGGCCCCAAGATGGGATCTCGTGGATACAGAAAGTTGCGGCGGTGGAATTAGGTTTTTGGCTCCCCTTCTGATCGTTTGGGGGTACGTAGGTATATATATAGAAGGAAGGAGTACGTCGACGGAGCACCGAGGGGCCCACAAGGCAGGGGGGCGCGCCCTAGGGGGTGGGCGTGCCCCCACCCTCGTGACCGCCTCTTTGACTCCTTGGAGTAGGGTCCAAGTTTCCTGGATCACGTTCGTTGATAAAATCACATTCCCGAAGGTTTTATTTCGTTTGGACTCTGTTTGATATTCTGTTTCTCCGAAGTACTGAAATAGGCAAAAAACAGCAATTCTGGGTTGGGCCTCCGGTTAATAGGTTAGTCCCAAAAATAATATAAAAGTGAAAAATAAAGCCCAATATAGTCCAAACCAGTAGATAATATAACATGGAGCAATCAAAAATTATAGATACGATGGAGATGTATCACTTGACAACCAATAGTCTCGGCTTTTTAGAGCAACTCCAGCGGATGCGTCGGATGTGACCGACCGCCATAATAAACGTTAATATGGTGAACCGATGATCCGCGCACATAATTGGAACTGTAGTGGCAGCGTCGCATGCACTGCAATCGCAAAATTTTATGGAGCTCGCTCAAAAAATGAACTCGTAGCGTCCAGATATGGAAGTTGTGGAGGCCTCGAATCCAGCCACCGGCGTGGGAGGGAGGCTTTATCTTCTCCCTCCTCGTGCCACAGAGTCGGGTTTTGAAACTCCCTGCGGCCCATAGACGCACCACTACGCATAGGTAATCATCAATGGTGGGGGGAGGGGAAGTCGGAGGAGAGAGCACTCATCTTGGGGTGGGCTTATTACTTATATGCTTTCAGCAGTTATCCTCTCCGCACTTGGCTACCCAGCGTTTACCGTAGGCACGATAACTGGTACACCAGAGGTGCATCCTTCCCGGTCCTCTCGTACTAGGAAAAGGTCCTCTCAATGCTCTAACGCCCACACCAGATATGGATCGAACTGTCTCACGACGTTCTGAACCCAGCTCGGATGTGACCGCTAACCACCTGCCCATTACTGGCACCGTGCCTAACTCGATTTCTTGTGGCGGCCCATCAGAGGGACGCCGCGCGACATCATCTCCTTAAGCAAAATCTCACATCCCAGAAGTCGCATAGCGACAGCGCAAGCTCTCCTCATGATGACGACCACAAGAGATTGGGCGCTCGTGATAGTGGCAGTGGGGGATCTGGCACTTCTCGTGGTGCCGACGGCTTCACTTGCGACGGGAGGCGTTGAGCTAGCGCCTTAGGCGACATCGTCCTGGTCAATGATGTCATCACCATCGCCCTGCTTCCCTTCTCCTCCCATTCGTCCTCGTCCCATCAAGTCCTGGCCCGAGCCCGGGGACCCACTCAGGGTGATGTTTCTTAACGACATTTCAAGTTGCAAATTCTATGTAATGCGACAATTTTTGGCCAATAGTTTATAATTATGTTAATTATGTTTGATGATGATTATGAACTTATAGGTTGGATAAAATTTCGCTTAAACTGAAACTAAAAATTTAAACTAAATGAAAAAGGAATAACTAAAAGAACAATTACGGAGGTTGTCGTTTGGCCATTTTGTGATTGCGCATAGGCCTAGCAGCCTTCAAATCATTTTGGAGTCCGCTTTCATATGGCATGTGATGATCCAATTTATCGCGACTCTACTAGGGTTGCTCTTATGTCATATGCTAGTATTATCAATAGTCTATACTAGAAGGGTTGAGCGCGCTTTGTTGCGTTGTTGTTGCTGTTGTTGTTGTTGTTGTTGTTGTTGTTGTTGTTGGGTTTCTTAAAAAATCACTCTGTTTCAAAATATAAGATGTATTACTGTTTAAAAAAGCAAATCTTTTAAGTTTCATCAAATTTGTAGAGAAATATATCAAAATCCATAATATCGTATTGGTATTTTTAGATTCATCATGAAATGAATTTCCATACTTTGTTTAATATTGTGGATGTCTATATTTTTGCTCTGAACTTGGTCCAAGTTAAAGAAATTTGACTTTCCAAAAAAAATAATACCCCTTATGTTTTTGGAACTGTCGAAATATTTAGTTTGGCGGGTGGGAGAGATGATAGAGTGTGTTTTACTTTTATTTACAATGGGTTGATTTGGTGGGCCTTTCGTTCTGTGATTATCTATTATCCGCTAACCAATTTATATTTATGTGGAGAAATTTATGTGTTAATGGTTGCATATATTATATTGATGCTACAATATCACATGGTGACGCTTCTTTTTTCTAGGTGGTTGAAGGGTGGATGGGATTGATATGCTTTTATAGGTAAATTGTTGCTGATTGATTTGAAAAATTATTGGCCCGATCAAAATCGTAAACCAAATCCAAAATTGAATACTCGATTGAATTAAAGAGCTTCAAAATTAGGGAAACATAGTGTATTAAAAGAATTAAACTGAAGAGCTTGAGAAATTGTTGGCCTTGTCAAAGCCGTATGTCACAATTCTAAATTGAATACCTCAATTAATTGTGAGGTCTTAAAATTAGAAAACATGGTCTATACTACAAAAGAATTGAATGAGAGAGATTTGCGAAATTATTGATCCAGTCAAAATCAATGACCCAATTATAATTGGAGACCTCGATTGAATGTGGGCTCTTTAAACCTAGGGAGCTTAGTGTTATAGAGATTGATTTTTTTCACATCTTAAATTCTTAAGAAGTTGGTCCCAATTTTCTCAACATGCAAAGTGTCCACCTCAATGTCCCACTAAGCAATGTATTTAATTCTTCTCTCCCACTAAGCCATACAAAATCTGCCACATAAGCACCTCAACATCACAGTAAGCAATGTATTTAAGTCTTCTCGTTTCACTAAGCCATGAAAATCTGCTACATAAGCGAGTCATGCATTTAATTTATAATTTATAATTCTTTTTGCATTAGTCTATGCATGTAACGCTACCACGTTACATATTCATGTTAGTCATCATTCATATTTTTGTTCAAAATGAAATCTTTAACTGTAATTCAAAAGGTTTTATTCTATTTTAGACATTTTCTTTTAGTGATTTTCAAGCTTATACTTTTTCCATTAGATTTAGTTATTTTTAGCAACTACTTACGCATTTTTTTAAAGATATCGCATCAACGCATGGGGAGAGAGTCATCCTTAGTATTCTATTTATCTTGACATGCACAAATGCCAACTCGGCTATCATGACATATTAGCAAGCATGCGATTAAACTACTGAATTTTCCTCCTCTACCGTGATGCCATGTCATCACTTATGTTTTGTTTTTTTCTTTGCTTCACTTTACTAATTGTGAGTCCACTATCTCCTCCATGGAAAAAGAAGCAGCAGAAATGGTTGGTTGTTCACATCCCCACTATCTCATTGATATTCAACTTCTCTACGAAACAAGCATGGGAGTAATAGCTGAAGGTATCGCTTCATTCCCTCATAACATGTCCTTCTCACATGAGTTCTAATAAATAGCAACGACCTCATCACCTAACGAGGATTAATGAATTTTATCCTTCCCTTGCTGGATCTCTTTCGCATAAGCCAGACCAACATGGGTACTGTACGATTGTACGTGCCTAGAGGTTCAAAGGCTGACGTTGGTGTGTGAAGATGATGGCACCGATTTTTTTGTGGCCGTGAACAACGTCGATGCCGAGATAGGGACAACAATGGGCAGGACGAGAGGGTGAAGACCTACATGTCATCAACCATGCCGACCAAATCGGACGGGTGCACCGCGGTCGGGGCGCATTGCCGCTGAGGATGTTGCCGCAGGCAACACCATGAAGCCACCTTGATCAGGCCATCTGGCCCGTAGTGTCATGCAGCCTAACAGGGTCAAACATGCACGCGTCCCACATCTCTTACTATTTCTCCACCACTCATCATCGATATGATTTTTGTCCGCTACATGAGCAGGTTATTGCATTGCGTCACCGCCACTAGGATACCTGATTGGCCACCGCCTGCACGCTCCACCTACTCCTCACAACATCTGTTGATTCAACTGTAGCACACCCCGTTGTTGTAAATGGGAGAAACACCATTATTCAGGTATGACTCTTAAATCTCGTGCTTTCTTTGTACTATTTCTAGTATAAACTACCACTACGTCTATTTTACGACCTAGATGCTATACATACATATAGCACTACGTAAGTTAAACGAAGTCACATATCCGAGAAAGATTAGCGCTATGAGTTCATTCAAGATGCAGACATGTAATTTGTATTGTAGTATTAATTGCTACTTTTTCTATTAGCGGCACATCATATTTATTGTCTTCTTTCCATTGAGGTGAACAAAGGTATGATCCTCTACAAATTTGGTTAGAGAACTGATCGTACTAAGTAAGTTGATTTCAGAGTTGCACATTAAATCCAAGCCATCTTCTGCCGCAAAACATTTCTTTTTTATTATTATTTTCATACTCCTTTTCTCCTTACAATGTGCCCCTCTCTTTCAAATTGTTTATTACACTATCATCCCACTGCAACGCGCGGGGTATTGTCTAGTTGTCAAAGTTATCGCTCCCACGCGCCTTCATACACTCTATGGATTCTCTGACTTGTTACCTTTGCTCAATTTCATCTGTCAGATTGAAGTGACCCAGATTAGATACTACAAGCGCTATAATCAGTACTCCCCCTGTCTCATAATGGAAGATGTAATATTATGGAGGGAGTACTTGCTACAACAGGACCAACTAATGATTTGCTATGAACAGTGCTCAGAACAGTACTTGCAACAATCCCATCCTTTCATTCTTGATCATGTGGCAAAGTCAGGGATGCCTTTGTCACAACAAAGTAGAGAATCTGCACGCTTCATAAAATACAGTCAAGAGGGTTCCGGTGAGCCATTTTCCTTTCTTCTTTGACGACAAAAGGTAGACCATATCTCCTGACAAAATTTTCTTAGCAATACGTGCATAGTATTAGTCACATTGGACCCGTAGACCTAAAAAGGCAAAAAGAAACATCTCCATGGTTGTTTATTGGAAAATTCAAAGGTTAAACTCAACATTTTTTTTTTCATATTTGTTGCCTCTCTCTTTTTTGTTTCCTTCCATTTTCTGTTTTTTTCAGGTTTTTTCATTTTAAATTTGTTAGTTTTATTTTTTTTCATTTTCTTGTTTTTACCGTTTCCTTAATTTTATTGCAGATGCATGAATATTTTTAATTATACATTTAATTAAGTTTTCATAACTCTATCTTTTCCACAAATAGATGTTCTTTTCAAAACATATATATTTTTTATTTTGATATATATTAGTTTTTTATATACAAACATATTTTATTCATGAACACGGATAATGTTATTATGATGCATGAACATTTATTTTGAAACACATTCATATTTTCATTTTCAGACCATGAACATTTTTCCTAAGTCATAGTACACTTTTTATCACATATAGGAATAGCCCTTAGACAACACATTAAAATTTTATTCTGAACTGATAAACATAAAACATTTTTACAACATTTTTTTACTAATAAAAAAACTTTTATATAAAATATGAATTATAGATGAAAAAATATACCAAAGTTTAAGACCCCATTTATATTAATATTGAATCGCAACTGCCCAAAAGCAACACATTTTTTTGAGGGATCCTAAAGCGGCACATAAGAGCTCAATCCACACATTCTAGTTTGGTGGGCCTTTCATGGGGCAGATGGATGGTTCATGGTTGGGCCAAATGTTGGCATAAATCCCCTTGTTTAATCTTGTGGGCATGTCTTTTTCAAGGAAAGAAGAGACATGCTACCGTGTGGATCCACTTAGAGAACTTCTCAAAAAATAAATTGTGTGCCCACTTAGATTATTTCAAATGCAAACAGAAAATAAGTTGTCATTAGGTTCCTGTTGTTGTCTTATTGCCTCCGATAAGAATCTTGATTAGGTTTCTCTCGTATGTGGTGGCATGATTCATCTCGTGCCAAGTCGTTTTCAAAGACGGTGGTTTAATTATTTGGATCATGATGCGGACAACCGTGTCCGCTAGCATCGGGATCCTATTCAGAACGCCAGTTGTCTTGTCTTACATGATGAACAAGCGAATGACGCACCATCATCATTTTTTTTTCTTCGCAAAGTACCACCATCATCACTTAACTAACAATCTAAGTAGCCATAGACAAGTTAAAATTCCATTATAGTATGCCGAGGTAAGCCGTCACCATGTATACAATGACTAACTTGCCGAGACAACCTCTCAAGGATAACAAAACTCGCAAACTCACTAACATGGGTGACATCGACATGGCACAAAAAGAATTCGGTTTTGACTTTTATGCTAAGGTTTGGGTGGATTAACAAACACCCCATACGCTGATGTTGACATTGTGCATGATTTTGACAGCGCTCCTGCCGGTTCCTCGAAAATAAATAAAAATAAAACGAATTTGACAGCGCAATAACAATAAGCCAATCAATGGCTCCCATTTATGCTCCTCGAATTATTGGAGACACGCCGTATAGCGACAAGTTCCAAATCATCTCCACTCCTCTCTGCTCCACATCCGAAACTCTGACAGAAAAAGAAAGACTGCGCCGCAAGAAGCAAAACTCCAACTTTTCTCCCCGGCCCTCCCCACACCTGGCGGCGCCCATCCCGCCGGAACCGGCCGAGCTCCTCACCGGCGGCCGCGGCGGCGTCCCTCCGTCCTCGCCGGAACCGGCCGAGCTCATTGCCACGCATGGTTGACGAGGTGTCGCTGGTCCCCTGAGGCAGGTGCTCGCCGTCCCGGCCCCCCGAATCTTTCTCGTGAACAGATTTGAACATCTGGACCTTTCTGGTTGCTTTTGACTGCCTCTGTGCCTTTTGGAACCCTCTGGTCTTCGCCCCGGCCTTGCTCTCCTGTATGTGTATGTATGCAGCTGGAGTCTTGTGCTCGGATTCAAATCTGGAGAACTAATTTGATTGAACATCTGGATTTTTGTGGTTACCTTTGACTGTTTCTGAGCCTCTTGGTCTTGGAACCACATGTTCTCGTTTAGATTCGTAATCAAAATGAGATATGTTGTCGTTGGTGGTCATGTACTCTGTGCAGCAATAGACTGAGATAGTTCTTGACTTCTTTATGCCTGCAGTTTGTGACATACTTCTGCTGCTGATTGACTGGCCTGAAATCTGAACCTCATGGAGACCGTTTCGACGAATGAAGACACCAGCAAGGGGGCGATGTGGGAGCTGGAAAAGAGTCTTGATCAGCCCATGGATGCAGAGGCCGGGAGACTGAGGAATATGTACAGAGAAAAGGTGATTGCTATCATCATCCAAGTATTTGTCAGTTTTCTATATCTGAACCTTAGCCAATAGGATGCAGTATTTTGTTTGACACAATCCATAAAGGTCATGGAACACCTAATGTGCTTTCTTAACAACATGGCTTTAGCATTGAACATCACAGTTTTGTGTTTTGTAGAGCATTCTCCCTGATAATTATCTATATGCTTTGCCTAAGATGCAGAGTCATTTGGTGTCTTTATTTTGAACTTCTGAAAAAAAATGAATAGATAAAGTATGCTAAGTAATTTTGTTTTTGCCCTGTTTCCCCCCCTGTTGTATGTGCAGACCTATCCAACAGTTTTGATGCTACAACTAGCTTTCCAAAGCCTTGGTGTGGTGTTTGGGGATTTAGGCACATCGCCTCTTTATGTTTTCTACAACATCTTTCCTGAGAAGATAGAAGACACCGAGCAAATTATTGGGGCACTCTCGCTTATTATCTACTCGCTTACTCTCATTCCACTCGTTAAATATGTTTTTATCGTCTTGAGGGCAAGCGATAATGGCCAAGGTAAGAATTTCTGCCTCAGTTATGGAAATGTTAAACTGTTCATAGCTGGTCCTGGTCTGTCTTATTTGTTTGAGATAATGCAGTAATACATACAGCATGTTCTATGAACATCTGAAGACCACCTGAAAATGAAAAACTAATGTATGGTCATACAGAGGAAATTCTGGTCAAGAGCTTCCTAAAATCCATGCAACATTACAGTTATGTAGGCCTTCTATTGGTTCGGCTCTAAACTTTCTACTGTCCCACATAAAGAGATTTTTCTTAACACTTCGAACAAAAATAAAACTAGTTATCCTTCCCATGTAAAAATAAGTTGGTTTGTATTTAAGTAATCCTATCATCAGAAAAGGCTGATAATAGACAATAAAGCCATCATTCTAAGATGGACCCGTGTTCTTCTGCTTAGTTGCCACAAGTTTTGTCTGTGCGGCTGCCCCAAGTAGGGCACAAAGTTTAGTGTGCCATAGACAATAAGACACATATGTTAGTATAAGACACCATTGCGTTGCACAGACACTCTGCCTAAAATAGGGATGCTTATGAGTTTACTGCTATTTCAGCACCCCTTGTGTTTCTCTGCATCTTCTAATAGCTTTTCTGTAATTTCAGGTGGAACTTTTGCTCTTTATTCATTGCTTTGCCGGCATGCAAAGATAAGCATTATTCCCAATCAACATAAAACCGATGAAGACCTAACAACATACAGCCGTCAGACATATCATGAGAAGTCTCTTGCTGCAAAGATCAAAAGATGGTTAGAGGGGCACCAACTCAGAAAGAATGTCATTCTTATTCTTGTACTTTTTGGTACTTGCATGGCTGTTGGAGATGGAATTCTCACTCCTGCCATATCAGGTGAGTGCATGCATGTTTCATGGAGTATCAGATTTCTCAAAAATGATATTGTTAGGAGAACGGGGAGCTTTCAGCCTGACATGAACCTATCTTTGGCCTACTAAGAATCATATTATATTACCAAAAACCAGAAATATTTGGGAAAAAATGCATGCCAGATATTTATTTGAAGCATATTACACCAATTGGTTTGCAATGAGATGCGAAGCAATTGCATAAACCATTTTCATGATATAAGATGTCATGTATCCAGTACACGACCTGGCAATAATGGCTCTAGGGCTTGCTCGAAGTCACCGTGGCCCCAAGAGCTGCGAAGGCAGCTGCACTCAGGGGCGGAAAGGAGAAAGATTTTGGGAATATTGGTTTATTCTCTGCTTATTTCAACCAGAGGATGTGGCAGCCCTTATGTAAGAGGGCTTGCCCCTAACTCAAGAAACTAATCTTATCTTTCATAACTTACTTCATCCCAATCTCTTAAGTCCTTAACTACCATACTAGTATAAAAATCACAAGCTAGGGAATGATAAACCTGTACAGATAACGATAACGATCCTTGTACATAGCTGCCTGTAGAGTGCTAGATGGAGCATCTGAGATTACCAGCTACTCCGTATCATTTTTGTCCACAACAGACAAGTGTTGCTTTACTGATTTCTTTCAATTTTAGCTGTTTTACATATCTTCTTTGTGATGCTTGTAATTCCATAATTCTACTGTTAAGTTTTACCCAATAACCCAAGTGACTTGATATTAACAACTGCTGTACAATTTGCAGTTCTTTCTGCAACTGGTGGAATAAAGGTCGAAGAGCCCAGAATGGGAAATGGTACATGTGCAATTTGAAATTACTACAGTTTTCTGCTTTTATTAGCTTTACCATGTGCATCTCAGAGGAGGATGCCAAAATTTGCAATTGATGTTAATTTAACCAGAACTGTTGATTCCAACTTTAAATAATTCACCATATTCTTTTCTCTGTGTAATGATAAGCTTAACATTCTAACTGTGATTTGAAGCATTGCCTTTTATTGTAGGAACTTTGTAGTGCTGGTGTGCATGGGAACAGTTAATGTTATACAAATAATACCGAGTTAGACCTATGATTAGCTGACTCATTTTATTATTTTCCCATGACAGATGTGGTTGTAATAGTCTCCGTGGTGATACTGATTGGACTGTTCAGTATGCAGCACTATGGCACAGACAAAGTCAGCTGGCTTTTTGCACCAATAGTATTTGTTTGGTTCATACTTATTGGAATCCTGGGGGCTGTAAACATTTATACATATGATAGGTCGGTTCTCAAGGCATTCAATCCTGTTTATGTATATCGTTATTTTAAGCGAGGGAAGACTAGCTGGGCTTCCCTGGGAGGAATTATGCTCAGCATAACAGGTCTGGAATTCTTACCTTATTTCATATGGTGGCTTGTCCTTTTAACCTGGCAATAACCTGACCTGACTGTTTGGCTCATGGTTCAGGGACAGAAGCACTGTTTGCTGACCTTTCATATTTTCCCGTACAAGCTATTCAGGTACCATATGTTGGCTGTGATTGTTCTTCGCTATGCATATATTAATCTGCATTTTAAGAGGAATGCACTCAGTTTTATTTTGTTAGAGGTTGTAGATCTACCAATATAACTTTCACATGAGTACTTTAATCAGTCAGTTTGCTTGCTAACATCCTTTATCATTTCGAAACGCAGATTGCTTTCACTACGGTTGTGTTCCCATGTCTTCTTTTGCAATATACTGGTCAAGCTGCATATATAGCCATGCACAAAGACAAAGTCTCCCACTCCTTCTATTTTTCTCTTCCAGGTAAAATTCGGACATAGGGAATTCCCCGATTAAGTGATTGCTGTATTGGTTATACATAGTGACACGATTATTTGGCGCAGAGCGTATACTTTGGCCAGCATTTGTCGTTGCAACAGCTGCTGCAATAGTTTCTAGCCAGGCAACCATTTCCGCGACGTACTCAATTATCAAGCAAGCGCTAGCGGTGGGATGCTTCCCCAGGGTGAAGATCATCCATACATCGAAGAAGTATCTTGGCCAGATATACAGTCCTGATATTAATTGGATCCTCATGATTCTCTGTATTGCCGTCACCGCTGGATTCAAGAATCAGTCCCAGATTGCAAATGCTTATGGTAAATGAAATACTTGTATTTTTTTCCAAAATTTCAGCGGTTGCGATGTGTGTTTCTGCTCTGTTGCTAACATGAGTGTTGCATGCTGCAAAAACAGGTACAGCTGTGATAATGGTCATGCTTGTGACAACATTTCTCATGGTCCCCATAATGCTGCTGGTATGGCGCAGCCATTGGGCCTTGGTCGTCCTCTTCACGGCGCTGTCACTGGTCGTCGAGATCCCGTACTTGACCGCCGTCATGAAGAAGATTGACCAGGGCGGCTGGGTTCCTCTCGTGTTTGCCGCCGCCATCCTCCTCGTCATGTATGTGTGGCATTACGGCACGCTCAAGCGCTACGAGTTCGAGATGCACAGCAAGGTGTCCATGGCGTGGATCCTAGGCCTTGGCCCGAGCCTCGGCCTGGTCCGGGTACCCGGGATAGGTCTGGTGTACACGGAGCTGGCGAGCGGCGTCCCCCACATCTTCTCACACTTCATCACCAACCTCCCGGCGATCCACTCCACCCTGGTGTTCGTCTGCGTCAAGTACCTGCCGGTGTACACAGTGCCGCTGGACGAGCGGTTCCTGGTGAAGCGGATTGGCCCCAAGAACTTCCACATGTTCCGCTGCGTGGCGCGGTACGGCTACAAGGACATCCACAGGAAGGACGACGACTTCGAGAAGATGCTATTCAGCAGCCTGCTGCTCTTCATCCGGCTGGAGAGCATGATGGAGGAGTACTCGGACTCCGATGAGTACAGTGCCCTGGACCAGCAGGAGCTGATCGACGAGGTGAGCAGTGACGCCAGGTCCGCCGCCGACCTCAGCTACGCCTCCCGTGACTCCATCGTGCCGGTGCGCTCCCCGAACCGCCTGGGGGCCATGTCGTCGGCGCAGGCTACAACGGCGACCCCAGGGTTTGAGACCGTGGGCGACGAGGTCGCGTTCCTGAACTCGTGCAGGGACGCCGGGGTCGTGCACATCCTTGGGAACACCGTCATCAGAGCTCGCAGGGACTCGGGGCCGCTGAAGAAGCTCGCCATCGACTACCTCTACGCCTTCCTGAGGAAGATCTGCAGGGAGAACAGCGCCATCTTCAATGTTCCCCATGAGAGCCTGTTGAATGTTGGGCAGGTGTTCTATGTGTAGCTAAAGTGGATGTAAATCACTGTGTTTGTGTGTAGATTATTTTACAGGAGAACTCTACAGAAATGATGATTAATTGATTTTACATATCTGGAACATGTAGATTTTAGTACTAATAAAATGGCACATGTAAATTTTAGTAAAAAAAAAATGGCAATTTTCAGTGCAGTGCAAATCCAGATACGAATCTGAATCAAATTATGGAATTAAGATGCGAATACATATCATATTATAGTCAACTTGTTACCATCGTATTGCACCAAGGTTTAGGTTTAAAATTTTGATGAAACTTCTTTTGAAATTTTGTGTTATTTTGAGGATCAGCGAAATATTTGCATTTCGTTATAAAACAACTGGTGCCTTTGAACTTGAATGATATGTAACCCACGCAAAATAAATAAATTGGCGACTTTTCTAATAATTTATTCGCTCGCCTCTACTGCTAGGACAAATATAGCCTTCTGTTTTTGGCATTGACAGTGGCGATGACTCAAATCTGCAGAAGTGATGGCGGTGACGACTTCAATCTCTAGGAGCGGAAAGTGCTTGTCCTCTTCGTCTTGGAGTCCGTCTCGTCTTCCTAGGTGTCCTCGTCTCTGGCATGGGCGGGTCGTCAGCTCCAAAGGGGTAGGTACCATAGAACCCCCCCTCCTCTGTTAGGTCGTTAGGTAGGGTGCAGGGTCAATTTCGCCAGTACATACCGCAACATCAATTTTGCCAGTAAGTCGGTAATGACGAACAGATGAAGCTAGTTGTTCAGAGAGCAATACTCATAGTTGTTATTTCAGGCTTGGGTCATGTTGGTCCAAAAGAAAGCGGTTCGTCCGAGTGATAAGCCTATGACCCCTTATGGTCCAATGTCAACCCAAGATAGGGCGAATCTGAACTACATCTACAACAACAACAATGTAGAGACTATGAACATGCTTCGAATGCAAAGATCATCGTTTCCCAAGTTTTTGGAGACGTTTAGGACCAAGGGACTGCTAAAAGATAATATCCACACACCTATGTGGAAGAGCAAATTTGCTTGTTCCTTCATGTTGTTGGTCGTAATCAGAGATATTCATTATTACTCACAATACATTCAGGAGATCTAGTGAGACCATTTTCAGGTATTTCAAGTAAGTCTTGTATGCTATTGGGGAGCTCATATGAGAGATGATCAAGACACCAATTGGGCAAACTCCTACTAAGAATCACATGAGCCATGTATCCATATTTCAAGGTGAGCAATACTAGTAGTTCATGCCATGGCATGCTTGTATTGTTTTACAGTCACAACAATATGTTTTCATGCCATCACATGATTGTATTGGATGGTACTCATGTGATTGTTAGAGTGTTGATGTCACAAGCTGCATCATACATGGATAAAAGACACTACACAAGCCAGAATGTGCTTCCAGCTGTTGACTTTGATCTAAAGGTCATATATGTCTTAGCTGGCTTGGAAGATTAACCCATGATGCTAACATTCTTGCTGGCGGTAGTTCGATTCTAGCTATGAGATACTGGATATGAATGTCAGCCCGGTGTTCTTTCATCTTTCGGGAAAACCAGGTACCATTGAACGAGTTCTCTTCTAGGAACCATCCTAGGGCTGCTGTAGAATTATTTAATCTCAGACACTCTAGCCTTAAGAGTTATAGTTGAGAGGGCATTTGGAGCTATGAAGAATAAAATTTAAGATCCTATATCAGAAGACCCTCCACCCTTTTTGTTTTTACCAAGTTAGGCTTGTCCTTGCATGCTACATTCTTCATAACTGGGCCATAGAATGAGGTTGTGACGAGCTTGTGGTAGAGGAGGAATATGTGTTGGTTGATGATGTTGATGGCCACGACCATGATGTAGGGGGACATGACAGTGAAGCTTGAAAGAGCAAAAGATTGGAGTGAATTGAGGCAATATGAACAAATAGAGATAACCCAAGGGTCTGAACACTAGTAAAAAAGGGGCTTTGGTTCGGCCAGAAAAGAGCATTAGTACCGGTTGCATTACGAACCGGAACTAATGTGAGCATTAGTCCCGGTTCGTAAGGCTAGGGCACCGTACAGGCATTACTACCGGTTCAAATGAGACCTTTAGTCCCGGTTGGTGCCACGAACCGGGACTAAAGGGTGCGATGCCCATTAGTACCGGTTCGTGGCACGAACCGGTACTAATGGTGCAATTTTCAAATCCTACCCCCTGTATCGCCTTTTCAGTTTTGTAAAAAGCAAAAGAAAATGATAAAAACTTCAAAAGTTAAAATCCTTCGAGATGTAGTTATGTTACTGTATCTACTAGTTAGAAAAATTTAAAAACTTAAATTTGGACATGTTTTGCAAAAAGTGTAGGGAAAATGTAAAACGGCTATAATTTTTGCATACGATGTCAGAAAAAAACGTATAATATATCAAAATGTTCAGCACGAAAATCCGCATCCGATTTTGACCGCCTACGGCCTGTTTTGCAAATTTGTAGAATCCTCAAATTGCAAAAGGAAAAAAAGTTATGCTCAAATTTTAGTTTTTTTAAAAAAATCGTTAAATCTGGTCAAACTATGGTCAAACTACTTATTCAAGAAGTATTAGTGTTACTAAATAATTATTTCAGTTTTTTTGAATTTTGGTCAAGTGTGGTCAAACTGTGGTCAAACAATGGTCAAACTACTTATTCAAGAAATATTAGTGTTACTAAATAATTATTGTTTTTTAGAACAATAGTTTTAAACTCAAACAGTGAAATGTGTGACTTCGTACTCAAGCTAAACTCCTGAGGGTTAATAGGATTGACATCTTACTATTGTCAGCAAAACAACAAGTGCAGACTTGAAAACGAGGGAGAATAGAACCTGGAAGTTAAGCGTCCTCAGGCTGGGGGAGTAGGAGGATGGGTGACCATCCGGGAAGTTAGATGATTTGGAATGATGAGGGGTGATTAGAGATTAAATTGAGCAATGATGAGGGGTGATTAGAGATTATAGGTTAAAATAATTCAGAAATTTGAAAATCGGGAAAAAAAATTCAAAAAAAAATTTCAAAAAAAATCCTTTAGTACCGGTTGTTGTTATCAACCGGGACTAAAGGTGGACCTCCAGGCAGCGGCCACGTGGAGGGCCTTCAGTCCCGGTTCATATAAAAACCGGGACCAAAGAGGGGACCTTTAGTAACGACCCTTTAGTCCCGGTTCCAGAATCGGGACTAAAGACCCTTATGAACCGGGACAAAAGGCCCTTTTTTCTATTAGTGGAAAAAAAGAAGCAGCAACAAGGGAAGAAGATTGAGGATGGACTTCCCCCTAGTTTGACTTGACATTGATTAACTTTTCCCTAACGAGCCATATGTAGTGTTAATTTCTTTTGCAACTTTTTAGTAGTTAGGATAAACTGTCATTTATTTACTAGTCAGGGCAAAATCGATGTTTGTTTCATACTGTTTATGTACTGTAATGTATGGTAAGGTCACTACTAGGGAGACCACAACATAGGTCGTGTATAACCAAACATCATGTTTTGAGTGTTGAGAGAACTGCTGCCAACCAAACGCCAAGTATCAAACTGCTCAGTGGTCGAAGGCAGGCTAACAAACAAACTATGTGTAGAAAATGACTTAGTTAGGCTCAACTCAGCTAAAATATCTTTCCCTTATAATAAAGTAAGGAGTGCTTCTGGTAGTCCATCATGTAATTTTGCACAAAACCCACTGTATTTTCTGTGAATCAACCCGCACTACACACTTAAGTCAGGGGGAAATATCTGGTGCACCGGAGCTTGTGGTGCTACCGGTGCACCAAACTCATATTGTCCTTTTACAATGTTAAAAAAGTTCTGAAAAAATTTAGCACACTCACACAACATCAATGTAGGTTGTCACAAAAATTTAAGTCAAAATTTGAAACATAACTCAAAAAATGGAAATGACAAATTCAACACTAAATAGTACATAGCATAACTTGGGTTTAGATTTGGCCCATTATCACGCTGATGTCAAATTTGTCATTTTTGTATCTCAAAAAATATTACAAAATTTTATACAAAATTTTGTGACATCATGCATTGATGTTGTGTTAACATGCTAGATTTTTTTCAATTTTTTAAAAATATTCTATGGCATCCGGTGCACCGGTAGCACCACAAGTGCGGGTGCACCAGATACATTCTCTTTAAGTCAGAGCCGAACCGTTATTTTGCATTTTTTTGGAACCCCCCGACTTTTTAGGTTATTCACCCGCCGATCATATTTAAGTCAAACATATTTTTTAAAAAATTATCCATATCTTTTAAACCTTAACTCTGATTTTAATATTTTATATATGAAATTTGATTAGAAAAATGTGAAGAATATAATATAATTTGATTGAGGATGGACTTCCCCCTAGTTTGACTTGACATTGATTAACTTTTCCCTAACGGGCCATATGTAGTGTTAATTTCTTTAGCAATTTTTTAGTAGTTAGGATAAACCGTCATTTATTTACTAGTCAGGGCAAAATTGATGTTTATTTCGTACTATTTATGTATTGTAATGTGTGGTAAGGTCACCACTAGGGAGACCACAACATAGGTCGTGTATAACCAAACATCATGTTTTGTGCGTTGAGAGAACTGCTGCCAACCAAACGCCAAGTATCAAACTGCTCAGTGGTCGAAGGCAGGCTAGCAAACTATGTGTAGAAAATGACTTAGTTAGGCTCAACTAAGCTAAAATATCTTTCCCTAATAATAAAGTAAGGAGTGCTTCTGGTACTCCATCATGTAATTTTGCACAAAACCTCCTGTATTTTCTGTGAATCAACCCGCACTACACACTTAAGTCAGGGGAAAATATCTGGTGCACCGGAGCTTGTGGTGCTATCGGTGCACCAAACTCATATTGTCCTTTTACAATGTTTAAAAAGTTCTGAAAAAAATTTAGCACACTCACACGACATCAATGTAGGTTGTCACAAAAATTTAAGTCAAAATTCGTAACATAACTCGAAAAACGGAAATGACATAACTTGGGTTTAGATTTGGCCCATTATCACACTGATGTCAAATTTGTCATTTTTGTATCTCAAAAAATATTTCAAAATTTTATACATAATTTTGTGACATCATGCATTGATGTTGTGTTAACATGCTAGATTTTTTTCAAAAATTTTAAAAATATTCTATGGCATCCGGTGCACCGGTAGCACCACAAGTGCGGGTGCACCAGATACATTCCCCTTAAGTCAGAGCCGAACCGTTATTTTGCATTTTTTTGGAACCCCTGACTTTTTAGGTTATTCACCCGCGGATCATATTTAAATCAAACATTTTTTTTAAAATTATCCATATCTTTTAAACCTTAACTCCGATTTTAACATTTTATATATGAAATTTGATTAGAAAAATGTGAAGAATATAATATGATGTTATTTTCACTTATTAAATATTTTTAAATAAGGATTTTGGAAGCAAATTATAATTATATAGCGCACAGTCCATTTTTCTTTCGTATCAACGACGATGATTGCAAATAAATATCCATTAAAACCATATAAAAACTAAAGAAAATTTCTCACCCCCTCCCGCGAGAGAGAGAGAGAGAGAGAGAGAGAGACCTTAAGATTAATCACATTCAAACATGTTTTGGTTTGGGTGAACATTGTGCCCACCGCCAGCGAGGGTGAGAAAAGGATAAGCGGCAAAACAAATGTGATGCCCCCCTAAAACAAAGGACATGGACCTATTGTGGTCTTGAGTGATGTTTATAGGTTAAGTGTGTGTGCTATTTTTTCTTCCATTGCAACGCACGGGCTATTAAAGATAATGAAACCTACCAAACGCATCCAAAAAAAGTAGCTGCACACGTTTTAGGAAAAGTCAACTATAGAAAGCAAGCGCGGGTGTGCAATATAGTTGGGCTCGCCCGTACGATAATCCACTCTTGTGTCCGGGCTTAGATGAGCCCGGTGAATAGTTCCATGATTAAAAATAGAAAAAAAATCAAAAATTTTATGGGAAGATGTTTGAGTGCATGATGTCCGTGTAAAATTTCATCCGGTTTGGACATTTGTGGAGCTTATGACGAGAAATTCACCCTGAACAGTCCATGAACAGTAACAATACATATAGCCGTTTTGTCTTTTTTGTCGCGCGCTTCTTAAATGTCCAAACACCATCAAAATTTGCACGTACATCACGCACACAAGCATCTTGCTTAGAAATTGTTTTTCTTTTTTGAACTTTTTTTCTATTTTTTGTGATTTTGCCCGGGCTCATAAGGGCCCGGGTGCTGAAAACGCCGCGCTCCCACCCGTAGGGCAACTTAAATTACACTTACCTGTAAAAATTTCTGTCTGAGCAAATAAGCGAAGAAGCAGGGATGGCATGGAGATGCCGTGAAACCGTGTAGAAATCATGGGGGGCACCCTCACAAATCAGAATTCCGCTCTCCCAGAATTTGAAATTCGGCGTCGGTTCGAACCGGGATAGCGCGTACGACGGCACGGGTCAAAGTCAAAATCAACGGGCGAACCGCCTCCGGAACCGACCTGGGCCGTGTCCGAGTCCCGGGCCCGCACGTCAGCCACCACCGCCCCCCTATATACCTCGCCCCCTCCCTCTCCGATCCAACCAATCGACAAGAGCCCGTCGCGCACGAACCGACCCGAAGCCGCCGCCGCCAGCACCGCACGGAACCGACGCGCCGCACCGAACCCATGGCCGAGCACGACGCGCCCCCCGAGTCCGGCGCCGCGAGGTCCCCGCCGGCCAAAAAGCGCGGCGGCGACGCCCGCTCCCCCCAGGTGAGGACCGCTCGCCCGCCCGCCCGATCGATCGGCGCGGCTGTCTTCGTCTCTCTGTTTATTATTTTTCGCGCTTAGGGCCGGGGGGAATTCGCCGGAGGACAGGGGGTTTGGGCAGGGCGCCGGCTCGAACCAGTTCGGTTGCTAGGTAGATTGCCGCGCGCGTCAATGTTCGGTCGCGGATTCGAGGCTGGTCGGATTTTAGTTTCAGTTTCTCCCCGAATCGGTGCTACTGCTGGATTGTGCTTTTAGTTGCGCTCCCCCGAATAAGATTTTCGATTATCTAGACGCATTGGGAGGACGCATGGTTTTTTGGGATAGGGCTGGTTCGGAATGGCTCGGCTTTTAGCTTCCTGCGCCGCGTTCAGTTGCGAGTTCGGATTCAAGTTTCGCACCCCAAATCAGTGCTGGACCGTGTTTTCAGTTCTGGGCTGCGCCCTTGAAACCTGAATTCGGGCGTGTTTTGATGCTCTAGACGCATTGGGTTGGTGATGATGGGATTCCAAGTCCAGGAGCATGTAGTTTTTGTTTGTTTTGTCACGTGTGATGTGACTAGCAGGCTTGGTAGTTATAAGTAGGAAGTATGTTTATCATACTAGCAGGCCCTGATTTTTTTTAAATACATGTGACGGAGGAATTCATGTTCTTTTCCAGCAGGATGCGCAGCCTTTGAGTTCCAGAGACCGGGTCAGGGAGCGCGATGAGGACAAGGACAGGGAGCGCCACAGGCGCCACGGGGAAGACCGAGAGAGGTACCGGGACAGGGAGAGTGTCCGTGAACGCGGTGAAGGGAGCAGGGATCGTGAGCGCCACCGTCGCGAGCACCGTGAAGAGAGCAGGGATCGTGAGCGCCACCATCGCGAGCACCGTGAAGGGAGCAGGGATCGCGAGCGCCACCATCGCGAGCACCGTGAAGGGAGCAGGGATCGTGAACGCCACCATCGCGAGCACCGTGAAGGGAGCAGGGATCGTGAGCGCCACCATCGCGACCACCGTGAAGGGAGCAGGGATCGTGAGCGCCACCATCGCGACCACCGTGAAAGGAGTGAGAGAAGGGAGCACCGTGACCGTTCCGATGACCGTGACTACCGCCGGAGCTGTGATCGTGACGCCGAAAGGTACCTGGTTCTTGATTTCTGTGATGTGTCTTATGCATTTTGTTGCATTAATTGATTCCAGCATTGTGTGCTTTTAATTGACTGCTGGCTAAATATGTTGAGACCTATTCATCCTTGTGCTTAGTAGGGAGACGTTTTTATTTTCTGAAAAATTGGCAAGGTGTATCATTTGGTTTAGGGTAGATGTTTTTTGAGTTTTCTAATTTTATCTACAGAAATTATTCACTGTACTATATGGTTCTACACCATTAACATAGTTATTAAACTGTACATGGACAGCCCCACATGTCATTTCATGAATTACAGGACTGGTAAATGTAGGCAATTTTGCTGCTGTATAACCATCTGGTAGCTGCAATGTTTTCTAGTTGGTTGGTGCTGTATGCAGTGGCGATCTTTACTTAGCAAAGCAAAACAGTAATTATAATAGTGATAAGAGTCATGAACTAATTATAATATCTGCTTAACTTTTTTCTTGACGCAAATGAATTAGGTTTCCCTTGAAGTGTTGATGTGCAAACAATTCTGTATTTCTAAGCACATTTGCAAACCAGAAAATATCCTATGCAGATTACTCTCTTAAAAAAAGTCTGATCTATGTTGTGATAATGCAGAAGGGACCGTGATAGAGATGGCCACAGAAGGCATCGCTCCCGCTCCCGCTCCCGTTCGGAGAGTCAGAGGTATGTGCTGGATGCCATCCAAAGCTTATTATTTGTATTTTGGCAGTTTGTACTGTTCATATTAAGTTTGCTTGTTTCCTCTGAGTAAGACAATTGACATGTGTTTGGTATGGGTTAGTTTTTTTTTTTGTATTGTTCGTAAGTTGACATAATGTACCATGGATGATATCCGCAAATTTGAACTACCTTGATTTGGTTTCTTGCTGTACCATGGATGATATTTGCCAATACCCCATTTAGTTGACGCAGGTGTCTAGTCTTGCCTGATTTATCTTTATTATATGTATATATTATTGGCCGCCTTTAGTTTTCTTACGGCAATCTTCATTTGCTGAATCGCTTACTAATGTCTTCCTGTATTGAAACAGCAAACGCATGAGTGGATTTGACCAGGCACCATCAGAAGCCATTCCTATACTCGCTCCCACTGCAACCCCAGGTATGTGGTGACAGAAAATGTTGTATGATGCCTTACAATAAATAATAACTGATGTTTGAATGTCTCTATTCTAATAATTCATGTTATTAACAATTCTCTGTTGATGCATTGCAGTTCAGCTACCTGAACTTCCTGCTGCTAATCCTGGGATGTTTCCGAACATGCTCCCAAACTTGGTCAATGTACCTGCCCTAGGACAGGTGACTACTGTGCTCCTTTTAAGATTCATTGTAGCTAGTACTCAAATCATGGATAACTGCCTCTGATCTATTACTAATTCTTTCTTCTCTTTGCATCGATCCACTTGCTATGCAGCCACTAGCCATGACACAACAGGTATGTTTGAGTTTTTTTCTGTGTGCTTGAGATCTATCTTGTTCTGTGATGCATAATCATGTCTGACCACTCTTTTCTTAGGCTACTCGGCATGCTCGTCGTGTTTATGTCGGTGGACTTCCTCCAATCGCCAATGAACAGGTAATTGCCTTGAGTAACTTGTTAGTTATTTCTTGGCATCTCTTTCTCTGTTCGCAGTCCGTGCTAAGTATTTTGTTCTTCTTTCTGCAGACGGTTGCTGTATTCTTCAATCAAGTTATGGCTGCTATCGGAGGAAACACATTTGCTCTAGGTCATGCAGTTGTTAATGTATACATAAACCACGACAAGAAATTTGCTTTTGTTGAGATGAGGTCTGTGGAGGAAGCAAGCAATGCAATGGCCTTGGATGGTATAATGTTTGAGGGAGCACCAGTGAAAGTTAGGAGGCCGACAGACTACAATCCTTCCCAGGCAGCTGCATTGGGTCCGAGCCAGCCGAACCCCAACCTCAATCTCGCTGCTGTTGGCTTGACACCTGGAGCAGGTGGAGGTTTAGAAGGCCCTGACCGCATTTTTGTGGGTGGTCTACCCTACTACTTCACAGAGGCTCAAGTGCGGGAGTTGCTTGAAACTTTTGGACCTCTTCGTGGATTTGACATTGTGAAGGATAAGGAAACTGGCAACTCGAAGGGATATGCCTTCTGTTTGTACAAGGATGTGACTGTCACCGACATTGCCTGTGCTGCTCTGAACGGTATCCAGTTGGGTGACAGGACTCTCACAGTCAGGCGAGCAAACCAAGGAGCAGAACCTAGGCCAGAGCAAGAAAACATCCTCCTGCAGGCACAGCAAGAGGCGCAAATGAAGGTACGACTTTATTATACTCTGAGTAGTTCTTAAAAGACGTGATCTTATAAAATGAACAATTAGTTTATGAATATAGCCTTCCACTTTCTGACTCTGCTTGCTTTCTGAGCAGAGACTCGTGTATGAAGTCGGCGGAGCCCTAGCGACAAAGGTGGTATGCCTGACCCAGGTGGTTTCAGCAGATGACCTTAGAGATGATGAGGAATACAATGACATACTGGAAGACATGACGCTAGAAGGACACAAATATGGTAAACCATCATGCGGCCCTTACTCCAAGCTCTAACACGATCTGTTTTATCAATGTGTTTGCCTCTTTGCTCAGCTACTGAATCAGTTTTCTTCTGTGTTTTTCTTTTTGTGTGTCTGTTTTGTAGTGCCACATAGTACCATTGCCGAGTCTTTTATAATCCGACCTCATGCGAAACTTGCAATCGGGCCTAAACTTACAGAAGACACTAATCTTTTTCACTTGGATTTGACTAACCATATGTTTTCTTCTCTTCCTTTTTGTCACGTGCATGTGTGTTCTTACTGATTAACGTGGACAGGTAACCTGGTGCAAGCTGTGATCCCACGACCCCATCCCAGCGGTGATCCTGTCGCTGGAGTTGGCAAGGTGAGTCCTTACTTCTGTGCTATTCAGCATCTTTCACCGATTTTGCTCACCAAAATTTATCCATTCTGATTCTGGGTCTGCATTGCAGGTGTTTTTGGAGTATGCCGATGTGGAGAGCTCGGCCAAGGCAAGGATCGGGATGCATGGGAGGAAGTTCGACGGGAAGGAGACGGTCGCCGTGTTCTACCCCGAGAACAAGTTCGCTGAAGGCGACTACGACTCTTAGACGATATATATTCAGCAGCGTAGTTGGTGTTGCCTTTATATGTAGTTTAAGCTTGTCGAAATACTGTCAGTGTGATATATTCAGATTTCGGATACCTTTACTTGGCACTTTGTTATTATGACTGTGGCATCGTATAACCAACATATACTGCATCGACCCGTCAAAAAAAAAAATACATACACTGCCTCGAGGTCTGGTTTCCATTTTTTTTCCTTTCCACTATTGGAAATGTTATTAGAGCATCTTCAACAGCCGTGCAACGCACCGCGCGCTAAAAGTCACGATACAGTGTCGGGTTAGCCAGCTTTTACGTGCGGCGATGCGATGGCTCCAGCGGCCGCCGCAAATTAAAGCGCGCCCACGCCGCTCTAGCAGGCGCGCTATATTTCATCAGTTTTTTTCTACTATGATTCGATACATTAAATTGGTTTCGTAGATAGTTCTCCTCCTACTACTACTCGTCCGACTCAGACTTTGTCTCGATGATGTCCTCCTTCGACGTCAGAGCGTAGGCGTCAAGGAACCGCTCGTCGCTGGAGTTCTAGGAGGACGCATCTCCTAGCGCTTCGTTGTATTTAGCGACCGCCTTCCGTGTTCGCTTGTCCTTGCGATAGTTGGCTCGCTCCTCCCTCCTCTTCGCCCTCCTTTGGGCGAAGAACTGTTCCTCGTTGGTGTCTTCCGAGAAGCGATGGCTCCACAGCGCCATGGCTTGCTCGTCCATCTCGGCCAACCTGAGACGATGCTCCCGCCTCCGGTGCTTGCGACGATCCTCGTCGATGAGAAGCCGCGGGAAAGGCGCCAACTCCTGTGCGCGCTCCCGCGTCGCCACGTCGGCGAAGTTCATGTCCTGACGGGACCGCAGGAGGCGCCACGCCGCAGCGTCGTACGCGCGGGCGCCCTCCTGGGCGGCGTCGAAGGTTTCGAGACGGAGCTGCATGTCGCCGGCCGACCGAATCTCGGCGGAGTAGGTGCCGGACGGACGCACGCAGACGCCGCGGTAGCCCGTACCTCCTCGGCTGTGAGGCGCGTGTTGGGGAACGTTGCAGAAAACAAAAATTTTTCCTACGGTTTCACCAAGATCCATCTATGAGTTCATCTAGCAACGAGTGATCGGATGCATCTACATACCTTGTAGATCGCGTGCGGAAGCGTTCAAAGAACGGGGATGAGGGAGTCGTACTCGACGTGATCCAAATCACCGGAGATCCTAGCGCCGAACGGACGGCACCTCCGCGTTCAACACGCGTACGGTCAACGTGACGTCTCCTCCTTCTTGATCCAGCAAGGGAAAGGAGAGGTTGAGGAAGATGGCTCCAGCAGCAGCATGACGGCGTGGTGGTGGTGGAGAAGCAGTACTCCGACAGGGCTTCGCCGAGCTCTATGGAGGAGGAGGAGGTGTTGGAGGGGAAGGGAGGCGCCAGGGGCAAGGGTGCGGCTGCCCTCCCTCCCCCCCCCCTCTATATATAGGGTCCCCAAGGGGAGGGGGCGCCGGCCCTGGAGATCCAATCTCCCAAGGGGGCGGCGGCCAAGGGGGGTTGAGTGCCCCCCAAGGCAAGTGGGGCGCCCCCCACCCTAGGGTTCCCAACCCTAGGCGCAGGGGGAAGGCCCAAAGGGGGGCGCACCCGCCCACTAGGGGCTGGTTCCCCTCCCACTTCAGCCCATGGGGCCCTCCGAAATAGGTGGCCCCACCCGGTGGACCCCCGGGACCCTTCCGGTGGTCCCGATACAATACTGGTGACCCCGAAACTTGTCCCGATGGCCGAAATAGCACTTCCTATATATAATTCTTTACCTCCGGACCATTCCAGAACCCCTTGTGACGTCCGGGATCTCATCCGGGACTCCGAACAACTTTCGGGTTACTACATATTCATATCCCTACAACCCTAGCGTCACCGAAACTTAAGTGTGTAGACCCTACGGGTTCGGGAGACATGTAGACATGACCGAGATGGCTCTCCGGTCAATAACCAACAGCGGGATCTGGATACCCATGTTGGCTCCCACATGCTCCTCGATGATCTCATCGGATGAACCACGATGTCGAGGATTCAAGCAACCCCGTATACAATTCCCTTTGTCAATCGGTACGTTACTTGCCCGAGATTTGATCGTCGGTATCCCAATACCTCGTTCAATCTCGTTACCGGCAAGTCACTTTACTCGTACCATAATGCATGATCCCGTGACCAGACACTTGGTCACTTTGAGCTCATTGTGATGATGCATTACCGAGTGGGCCCAAAGATACCTCTCCGTCATACGGAGTGACAAATCCCAGTCTTGATCCGTGTCAACCCAACAGACATTTTTGGAGATAGCCGTAGTATACCTTTATAGTCACCCAATTACGTTGTGACGTTTGGTACACCCAAAGCACTCCTACGGTATCCGGGAGTTACACGATCTCATGGTCTAAGGAAAAGATACTTGACGTTGGAAAAACTCTAGCAAACGAACTATACGATCTTGTGCTATGTTTAGGATTGGGTCTTGTCCATCACATCATTCTCCTAATGATGCGATCTCGTTATCAATGACATCCAATGTCCATAGTCAGGAAACCATGACTATCTGTTGATCAACGAGCTAGTCAACTAGAGGCTTACTAGGGACATGTTGGTGTCTATTTATTCACACATGTATTACGATTTCCGGATAACACAATTATAGCATGAATAAAAGACAATTATCATGAATAAGGAAATATAATAATAATGCTTTTATTATTGCCTTTAGGGCATATTTCCAACAGTCTCCCACTTGCACTAGAGTCAATAATCTAGTTACATTGTGATGAATCGAACACCCATGGAATTCTGGTGTTGATCATGTTTTGCTCTAGGGAGAGGTTTAGTCAACGAATCTGCTACATTCAGGTCCGTATGTACTTTACAAATATCTATGTCTCCATCTTGAACATTTTCATGAATGGAGTTGAAGCGACGCTTGATGTGCCTGGTCTTCTTGTGAAACCTGGGCTCCTTGGCAAGTGCAATAGCTCCAGTGTTGTCACAGAAGAGTTTGATTGGCCCCGACGCATTGGGTATGACTCCTAGGTCGGTGATGAACTCCTTCACCCAAATTGCTTCATGCGCTGCCTCCGAGGCTGCCATGTACTCCGCTTCACATGTAGATCCCGCCACGATGCTCTGCTTGCAACTGCACCAGCTTACTGCCCCACCATTCAAAATATACACGTATCCGGTTTGTGACTTAGAGTCATCCAGATCTGTGTCGAAGCTAGCGTCGACGTAACCCTTTACGACGAGCTCTTCGTCACCTCCATAAACGAGAAACATTTCCTTAGTCCTTTTCAGGTACTTCAGGATATTCTGACCGCTGTCTAGTGTTCCTTGCCGGGATTACTTTGGTACCTACCTACCAAACTTATAGCAAGGATTACATCAGGTCTGGTACACAACATGGCATACATAATAGAACCTATGGCTGAGGCATAGGGGATGACACTCATCTCTTCTATATCTTCTGCCGTGGTCGGACATTGAGCTGAGCTCAATTTCACACCTTGTAACACAGGCAAGAACCCCTTCTTAGACTGATTCATATTGAACTTCTTCAATATCTTATCAAGGTATGTGCTTTGTGAAAGACCTATGAGGCGTCTTGATCTATCTCTATAGATCTTGATGCCTAATATATATGCAGCTTCTCCAAGGTCCTTCATTGAAAAACTCTTATTCAAGTAGGCCTTAATGCTATCCAAGAGTTCTATATCATTTCCCATCAAAAGTATGTCATCTACATATAATATGAGAAATGCTACAGAGCTCCCACTCACTTTCTTGTAAACGCAGGCTTCTCCATAAGTCTGCGTAAACCCAAACACTTTGATCATCTCATCAAAGCAAATGTTCCAACTCCGAGATGCTTGCACCAGCCCATAAATCGAGCGTTGGAGCTTGCACACCTTGTCAGCATTCTTAGGATCGACAAAACCTTCCGGCTGCATCATATACAATTCTTCCTTAAGGAAACCATTAAGGAATGCCGTTTTGACGTCCATTTGCCATATCTCATAATCATAGAATGCGGCAATTGCTAACATGATTCGGACGGACTTTAGCTTCGCTACCGGTGAGAAAGTCTCATCGTAGTCAACCCCTTGAACTTGCCGATAACCCTTAGCGATAAGTCGAGCTTTATAGATGGTAACATTACCATCCGCGTCTGTCTTCTTCTTAAAGATCCATTTATTTTCTATGGCTCACCGCTCAACAGGCAAGTCAGTCAAAGTCCATACTTCGTTTTCATACATGGATCCTATCTCGGATTTCATGGCTTCTAGCCATTTGTCGGAATCCGGGCCCGCCATCGCTTCTTCATAGTTCGAAGGTTCACCGTTGTCTAACAACATGATTTCCAAGACAGGGTTGCCGTACCACTCTGGTGCGGACTTGTGGACCTACGAAGTTCAGTAGCAACTTGATCTGAAGTTTCATGATCATCATCATTAACTTCCTCTCTAGTCGGTGCAGGCACCTCAGGAACATTTTCTTGAGTTGCGCCATTTTCCGGTTCAAGAGGTAATACTTCATCAAGTTCTACTTTCCTCCCACTTACTTCTTTCGAAAGAAACTCCTTCTCTAGAAAGGATCCATTCTTGGCAACAAAGATCTTGCCTTCGGATCTGAGGTAGAAGGTATACCCAATAGTTTCTTTAGGGTATCCTATGAAGACGCATTTTTCTGACTTCGGTTCGAGCTTTTCAGGTTGAAGTTTCTTGACATAAGCATCGCATCCCCAAACTTTTAGAAACGACAGCTTAGGTTTCTTCCCAAACCATAATTCATACGGTGTCGTTTCAACGGATTTCGACGGAGCCCTATTTAAAGTGAATGCGGCAGTCTCTAAAGCATAGCCCCAAAATGATAGCGGTAAATCGGTAAGAGACATCATAGATCGCACCATATCTAACAGAGTGCGATTACGACGTTCGGACACACCATTACGCTGAGGTGTTCCAGGCGGCGTTAGTT